CTAATCTACTTCACAATATTCCTTATGGGAAAAAATTCGGTCAGTACTGGCACCTGAACATACTACTGGAATGAAAAAAGTTCGTTAACGGGGGTCCACTGTACTTTGTATATATTTCTAGACAACAGTAAATAACCCAGGCAGGTGTAAGTGCTCACCTGTCAATCTGATTGTGACTATTTGAGCACTATTTCAGTACCTAATATTAGTGTCATAACAAAAACTGGCTATGAAATCACAAGAACTATTACAAATTATAATTATCAGAACATAAAAAATATACAAATTAAAATAAAAACAAGAAAAAAAGGTATATCAGCAACACTTCTGCAAGCGGCAGGAGTCGATGTTGCTGTCAGGTGAGCATCCAGAGCCAACTTCACAGTCTTATATCTTGGTAAGTACTGATCCTAAAAATTTTTTTTAACCCTATAACATATAGAAAAATGTGCTCTTCATTAAAAAAAAAAAAATTATTTTTCAAAATATTAGGAGCGCCACGCAAGTAAACGCAGATCTACGTTTGGACAGTTTAAGGGGTTAATATTAGTGTCAGAACAAAGATTGCCTATGAAATCACAGGAACTACCGCAAATTGCAATTATCCGAACATAATTATATAAATGTAGGTAGTAGGTTGGAAGACAGCAACTGCTCAGGGAGGTACTACTGTCCTACCAAGTGAATGTAAAACAAAAGTCTGTACTTGTTTTACATAATGGTAGGACTGCTGGTGTCTTTTTTTCTGTCTCATGAACATGCAAGGTTTCAGGTACGTCTTACTACTTCTACTTACACTTAGGTCACACTACACATACATGTACAAGCATATATATATACACACACCCCTCTGGGTTTTCTTCTATTTTCTTTCTAGTTCTTGTTCTTGTTTATTTCCTCTCATCTCCATGGGGAAGTGGAACAGAATTTTTCCTCCGTAAGCCATCCGTGTTGTAAGAGGCGACTAAAATGCCCGGAGCAAGGGGCTAGTAAGCCCTTCTCCTGTATATATTACTAAATGTAAAAGAAGAAACTTTTGTTTTTCCTTTTGCGCCACCCCGCCTCGGTGGGATACGGCTGGTGTGTTGAAAGAAAGAAGAATTATATAAATGTAGGTAGTAGGTTGGTAGACAGCAACCACCCAGGGAGGTACTATCGTCCTGCCAAGTGAGTGTAAAACGAAAGCCTGTAATTGTTTTACATGATGGTAGGATTGCTGGTGTCCATTTTTCTGTCTCATAAACATGCAAGGTTTCAGGTATGCCTTGCTACTTCTACTTACATCTAGGTCACACTACACTTATATGTACAAGCATATATATACACACCCCTCTGGGTTTTCTTCTATTTTCTTACTAGTTCTTGTTTATTTCCTCTTACCTCCATGGGGAAGTGGAAGAGAATTCTTCCTCCGTAAGCCATGCGTGTTGTAAGAGGCGACTAAAATGCCAGGAGCAAGGGGCTAGTAACCCCTTCTCCTGTATATATTACTATATGTAAAAGGAGAAACTTTCGTTTATCCTTTTGGGCCACCCCGCCTTGGTGAGATACAGCCGGTGTATTGAAAGAAAGAAGTAGGTTGGTGTAGGTAGTAGGATGGTAGACAGCAACCACTCAGGGAGGTACTACCATCCTGCCAAGTGAGTGTAAAGCAGAAGCCTGTAATTGTTTTGCATGATGGTAGGATTGCTGGTGTCTTTTTATTCTGTCTCATACACATGCAAGATTTCAGGTACGTACCGTCTTGCTACTTCTACTTACACTTAGGTCACACTACACATACATGCACAAGCATATATAGACACACCCCTCTGGGTTTTCTTCTATTTTCTTTCTAGTTCTTGTTTATTGCCTCTCACCTCCATGGGGAAGTGGAACAGAATTCTTCCTCCGTAAGCCATGCGTGTTGTAAGAGGTGACTAAAATGCCGGGAGCAAGGGGCTAGTAACCCCTTCTCCTGTATAAATTACTAAATTTAAAAAGAGAAACTTTTGTTTTTCTTTTTGGGCCACCCTGCTTTGGTGTTATATGGCCAATTTGTTGAAAAAAATAATTATATAAATTTGCCAAGGGAGTGTAAAATAAAAACCTGTAATTGTTTTACATGATGGTAAGATTGCCGTGTCTTTCTGTCTCATAAACATGCAAGATTTCAGGTACGTCTTGTTAATTCTACTTACACTTATGTCACACTACACATGCATGAACAAGCATATATATATACCCCTCTCTGGGTTTTCTTACTAGTTCTTGTTTATTTCCTCTTATCTCCTGGGGAAGGGAAACGGAATTTTTCCCTCCAAAACCCAAATGGGGGTCATAAGAGGAAATTTTAAAATTGTGGGGGGCAAGGAGCTAGAAAACCCCTTTCCGGGTTATATATTTTTTTAAATTTAAAAAAAAGAAACTTTTGTTTTTTTTTTTTGGGCCACTCTGCTACCGTGGGTTTCACCGGGTTTTTTTGAAAATAAAAAAAAAAAAGACTCCCCAGTGTTTCATACACATGAAAAGGTTTTAAGTACTTCTTCCCTACTTCTGTTACACTTGGGTTTCACACCCTTGAAATGTACAACCCATATAAAAACCCCCCCCCCCCCCCCTGTTTTTTTTCCCTTTTTCTTACTATTTTCTTGTTTCTTGTTTTTTCTGCTTATCCCCAGGGGAAAAAAGTGGAACAAAAGGTATTCCTCTGTAAGCCATGATGTCATAAGAGGCAGATAAAATGCGGGGGGAGTTTTTTCAAAAAATTTTAAACCAGAAGATTTTCAGAAATACTGGGGAACAAGTTTTAAAACCTTCAATGGGAAACTAAAACAAGTACCCTTCCCCGGTCCCAGATCAACCAGGCTGTGATGGATGTGGGGAAAGGGGGCCTTTCCAGCAGCAACAGCCGGGTTTTGACCAGGCGAAACCCAGCACCCTGGCCCATGGCTGGGTCAGAGAGTAAAATATACTCTTAAAATTTCTTAAAAGGTATATCAAATGTATGAGAAAGGGGGCTATTTTAACCCCTTCTCCTTTTTTTTTTTTTTTTAAAACAAGTGGGGCCGTCTCCCCAAAGGCAGGGGCCCCCAAAAAAAAAGAAAACCCCCAAAAAGAAAATACTTTCTTTATCATTCAAAATTTTTCCCACACTCACCCCTTTAAATCATTTTTTTGGGAAAGGTGCTAAGAATAAAACATTTTTAGAAGCATCACATATAAAGATACAAAAATACCCCTTTCCAAATTTGCCAATTTTCCCAAACCCCCCCTTTTAAAAGTGCAGGCATTGTACTTCCCTTTTCCCAGGACTCAGTCCGATATTTGAAAAAAAAACCGGTTTCCTGAACCCCCTTTCAAAAAATATTAAACTGCCCCAAAACTCCAACGATCTTTAAAAGGCCCCAAAGTCCCAAATTCGTCTCCATTAAATCCAAAACATGCCAGGGGGAAGCTTGCTGGAAGTCCAAGCCCCTTGCCAAAAAAAACCTTTCCTTTACCCCCCTTCTCCCCAACCCTTTCGGGGAAAGACCCCTACCCCCCCCTTCCTTCCCTATAGATTTTATGCTTTCCAGGTCATTCTATTTTTGATCCTTCTCTTAAAGCCCAAAACCCCCTTTCAACCCCCCTTTTTGCTCTTGACTAATACTTTTTTTTAAAATTTCCACACCTTTTCCTAATTTCCACACTCCGAATTTTCTGCAATTAAATTTTCACCACACATTGCCTTAAAGAGGGGCAACTCCATGCCTCCAAAATGTCTCCTGCTGCTGCATTTTTCCACCCAAGTTCACCCTCCCTTTTTTGAGGTGTTGGTACTTATACTTTTTATAAATTCCTTTTTTTGTCTCCCTAGATAACGTCTTTTGACTCCACATATACCTCAAAGCACCACTCCCTTTTTTCCCCCATCAATTCTATGATTAACATCCTTCATAAATCCCTCGCCGCAAGCAAACTCCCAAGTATTGAAAAATTCACTTTTTCCATACTCCTCCCCCCCAATTTGATATCCAATTTTTTTTATCTAAATCATTTGATACCCTCATCACCTTACTCTTTTCTTGTTCACTTTCAACTTTTTACCTTTACACCATTCCCAAACCCCACCCCCAAAAAAATTTGTAAATTTTTTTTAGAATCTCCCCTAAGCACAGTTTCATCAGCCCAAAAAATAAATGTGTCAATTCCCAAATTTTGGGAAATTTTATTCCCCAAAATTTAATCCCACCCCCCCCCCCGAAAACCCTAGCATTTTAAATTCCTTTACAACCCAAACATAAAAAATTTTTTAAAAACCATGGTGGGCATTACAATCCCTGTCTAAGCCTACTTTTACCGGGAAGTAGTCTCCCCCTCCCTCCTGTATATATTACTAAAAATTTTAAAAAAAGAAAAATTTTGTTTTTCCCCTTTTGGGGGACCCCGCCCCTTTAGTGGATACGGCGGTTGGGGTTTAAAAAAAGAAAAAAAAAAAATGGCCCCCTTTATTAAAAAAAAAAAATGATTTTTTCCCCCAAAAAAAATTTTGGGTGCTGGGGGAAGGGGGGGGGGGTCAAAAATTGATCTATGTTTGGACAGTTAAGGGGTTAATTCTAAAACCCTTTTTATATCCTGTGCTTTCAATGATTTTCAAGCAAAATTGAAAAAGGGCTTTAACCCCCTAAACGGTCCAAAATATGTTTACGGTTTTTTCCGCTAGTGCCCCCCAAAGTTATATTAGTTTTTTTTTGTATACATTCAACTTGCCACAATAAGCCTGAGCGGCCCAAAACATGAGAGAATGGGTGTGGCAAATCACTGTTTTGTCATATTAAAATAATTGGGGATGGCTGAGTACCATATGTTTTTTTCCTTTTAAAAAAAAAAAATTTTTTTTTCCTTTAAAAAGGGGTTTTGGGGACTTCGGGAAAAGGAAAAGTATATTTTACATTTTTGGGCCGTTTACGGGTTTTTTTTTTTAAAAAAACAAATGCAAATTTTGAAACTAATTACACAATAACTGTGGAGCAACTTACCTTTATTTTCTTCCACTGTTGTCTCACTTTCCTTAATTTCTTCATCTTCGCTGTCTTCATCTTCACTATCTTCCACATCCTGTAACTGGTCTAGAGGCAAGTCTCCTTTCTGTAGAGCCTCAAGTTTCTTTTTTTCTGGTGGGACATACAATGCTGTTGTTGTTGCTGTTTCTAAGGTAAATGGTGACAGATGTGCAGGAAGAGTTACCCCAGGAAAATACTCTTGCACTGGGAGAAGTATACGAGCATTGATGCAGTCATATACCCACTGTGGCTGAATATAATACCTGGAATTTTTTTTTTTTTCAATAAAACGTCTGCACCAATAAAAAATTGAAATAAAACACAAATATCAAAAATATTCAGTATTTAAGGGGAAGTAATAGGTATAACAATACTGAGAGACTGGAGTAAATACACATATACACACAGCCACCTTTCAGTGGCTGTGACATACATCTACATTACTGAGGCCAGGGTCCCTTGCATAGATCTACTCATAAATTATAGCAGCTTTAAATTTGGTAGGAGAGGCCTACTAGGCCCCTACATATGAGAGGATGGGTCTGCGTTGTCAGTGTATGCAGTAAATAAAAAATCGGAGCCCCTACAGTGTACTGTGGGAACGCTATACTAAGTTCACCTTGTTCACCAAGCAGCATGGATGCAAAGGCCTAACTCCCAGGTAAACTGAACAAGTTTTATTCTCTGTTGACAGCTCTAACAATAATAATTATGGAACCAACAATGAGTAATTTGGTTTGAACCATATAATAACTGAAAATGATCTTCAGGGCATTGGAAGTATCATTGCAAGATGATCACTAAATACCCTCTCATTTGAAGTTTAGTGATCACTTGCTACAGAAAAGAAATGGGCTCAGAAAAGATGTTGTGTCTGTGCACACACAACAAGGCCCCCACCAAAGTGCAGACACACAGGTTTTGTGTGTAGAGATGTGTAAAATACTGATGTGAAAGTTAAGACACTTGTGCAACATCTGGTTATCTTTATTGTAAACGTTTCACCAGATGTTGCACAAGTGTCTTAACTTTCATCTTGTCGGTAAACTTTCATCTTGTCGGTATTGTATACCTGTCTTGCACAAAATACTGATGTGTATGAAGTCATGTTTCAAGGGCTTTCACAGATTGCAACAGTTCTAGAAACATGTTAGAACAACAGTAATGCAAAACATTTGTACTTGTGCTGTTCACATGTTAACAATGTACTAATGACGCTATTAGTGCGGGTACTGTGCTGCATACAAAAGCTGGATATATGTATGTGCATGAGATGGGTATCACGGGTCATGAAATTTACTGGAAAATGCAAAAAATTAGAAACCCCCCCAAAAAAGGACAAAATAATAAAACAGAAATGTGAAGTGTGTGACAATCCCTGATGCTGCCATCACCAGGTCATAACCTTCACAGGTAAGTAGAAGATTTGAAGGGGTGAAAAATTGTGCATACTAGTATGCTGGACACAGTTATCAGTTGCATACCAGCATGCTGGACAGAGTTTAAAGGTTAACAGATATTGGCAACCTACTGAACAATCTACAAACTACACAGAGATGACAAAGAATCACCGAGCTCCTCAAGAATGCTAGATTATCTGATTAACGGAAAGAAGTGCTGACCAGGGAAGTGGAAAGTATCGAGCTTAAGTTAAAGGATTCATACAGGATCCAGGAGAGACAGGAGGAGCTAAAAGCAATTATTAGTGAAACTGAAAGAAATTTGAAATATTTCTTTTCATTTTATTATATTTATTATTATTATCACACTGGCCGATTCCCACCAAGGCAGGGTGGCCCGAAAAAGAAAAACTTTCACCATCATTCACTCCATCACTGTCTTGCCAGAAGGGTGCTTTACACTACAGTTTTTAAACTGCAACATTAACACCCCTCCTTCAGAGTGCAGGCACTGTACTTCCCATCTCCAGGACTCAAGTCCAGCCTGCCGGTTTCCCTGAACCCCTTCATAAATGTTACTTTGCTCACACTCCAACAGCACGTCAAGTATTAAAAACCATTTGTCTCCATTCACTCCTATCAAACACGCTCATGCATACCTGCTGGAAGTCCAAGCCCCTCGCACACAAAACCCCCTTTTACCCCCTCTCTCCAACTTTCCTAGGCCGACCCCTACCCCGCCTTCCTTCCACTACAGACTGATACACTCTTGAAGTCATTCTGTTTGCTCCATTCTCTCTACATGTCGAACCACCTCAACAACCCTTCCTCAGCCCTCTGGACAACAGTTTTGGTAATCCCGCACCTCCTCCTAACTTCCAAACTACGATTCTCTGCATTATATTCACACCACACATTGCCCTCAGACATGACATCTCCACTGCCTCCAGCCTTCTCCTCGCTGCAACATTCATCACCCATTTCTTCACACCCATATAAGAGCGTTGGTAAAAAATATACTCTCATAATTCCCTCTTTTCCTCCAAGGACAAAGTTTCTTTTTCTCCACGACTCCTAAGTGCACCACTCACTCTTTTTCCCTCATCATTCTATGATTCACATCATCTTTCAAGACCCATCTGCTGACACGTCCACTCCCCAAATATCTGAATACGTTCACCCCCTCCATACTCTCTCCCCCAATTTTGATATTCATCTTTCATCACCTAATATTTTGTTATCCTCATAACCTTACTCTTTCCTGTATTCACCTTTAATTTTCTTCTTTTGCACACCCTACCAAATTCATCCACCAATCTCTGCAACTTCTCTTCAGAATCTCCCAAGGGCACAGTGTCATCAGCAAAGAGCAGCTGTGACAACTCCCACTTTGTGTGTGATTCTTTATCTTTTAACTCCACGCCTCTTGCCAAGACCCTCGCATTTACTTCTCTTACAACCCATCTATAAATATATTAACAACCACGGTGACATCACACATCCTTGTCTAAGGCCCCACTTTTACTGGGAAAAAATTTCCCTCTTTCCTACTACTTAACTTGAGCTTCACTATCCTCGTAAAAAACTCTTCACTGCTTTCAGTTAACCCACCTCCTACACCATTTCACTTGCAACATCTGCCACATTGCCCCCCTATCCACCCTGTCATACGCCTTTTCCAAATCCATAAATGCCACAAAGACCTCTTTAGCCTTATCTAAATACTGTTCACTTATATGTTTCACTGTAAACACCTGGTCCACACACCCCCTACCTTTCCTAAAGCCTCCTTGTTCATCTGCTATCCTATTTTCCGTCTTACTCTTAATTCTTTCAATTATAACTCTACCATACACTTTAACAGGTATACTCAACAGACTTATCCCCCTATAATTTTTTCATACAGAAAAAAAAAAAATCTAGTAACAGGCCCTTGCTCAGGCAAGATGTGACTTACACAGATGGCAACAAAAAACTGAGTGAGATTCTGAAATCTCAATATGACTGTTTAACGAGCAAAACATTAGCTAAGAACTACGTATAGACCAATAGCTCTAATGTCCAACATCATAAAAATCTTTGAAAGAGTACTAAGAAGCATGACTGTAAGCCACTTGGATTCCCAAAAACTGCACAATCAGGAACAACACGAGTTCAGTGCAGGTCGTTAGTGCCTCTCACAACTAGTGGATCACTTTGATATGGTCTTGGATGCACTGGAAGAGAAACAGAATGCAGATGTAATATACACAGACTTTGCAAAAGCCTATGACAGGTGCGATCATTGTGTAATAGTGCACAAAATGCGTGCTAAAGGGATAAGTGGCAAATTGGGCAGATGGATCTTCAACTTTCCAATCAATCGAACACAGACAGTAGTGGTAAATAGAGTTAAGTTTGAAGCTGCCATGGTGAAGCTGTGTTCCACAAGACAGTACTTGCTCCCATCTTGTTCCTCATCATATCAGACATAGACGGAGAAGCAATCCATAACACCATGTCATCCTTCGCAGACAATACTAGGATCTGCACGAGACTGTCATCCATTGAGGATATGGTTGACCTTCAAGAAGATATAAACCAAGTTTTCCAATGGGCAATGGAAAACAATATGATGTTCAATGAAGACAAATTCCAACTACTCCGTTATGGAAAACTGGAGTAGATAATAACTAGAACTGAGTATACTACAAACTCTAGTCATACAATAGAGCGGAAAATTAATGTGAGGGACCTGGGAGTGGTAATGTCCGAGGATCTCGCTTTCAAGGATCACAACAGTGCCACGATCACAACTGCAAAGAAATATGACAGGATTGATAATGAGAACATTTAAAACAGAGAGATGGCAAGCCAATGATCATCATTTTTAAACCACTTGTTCTCTCTAGGCTGGAATACTGCTGTAAATTAATATCTCCATTCCAGGCAGGTGAAACTGCAGATCTAGAGAATGTACAGAGAACTTTTACTGCACATGTAAGTTCCGTCAAACACCTTAACTACTGGGAACATTTGAAAGCACTTGACTTATACTCGCTGGAACGCAGGTGAGAGATATACAGTGGACCCCCCGGCATACGATGGCATTGCTCTATGTTAAATCCAGCATACGATACATTTTAACGCAAAAATTTTGCCTCACCTCACGCGTCCCACGTGTGGCCTCAGTGCCAGTGTTCATAAGCCAGCCAGTGCGGTCGCATCTATGAATACATTCAGTACATTTCACATTATCCCAGTGTTTTTAGTGCTTGTAACTACAAAATAAGTCACCGTGGACCCCAAGAAAGCTTCTAGTGCCATCCCTGTGGTAAAAAGGGTGAGAATTAGTATGGAATTGAAAAAAGTGATTAAGGAAATGTGTGCAAAGTGGCTTGAAGTGCAAACCTTTATGGATGAAAATCACCCTCACACAGCTATTGCAAGCCGTGCTGGTGACTATTACAATGACAATGTTGTGTACCACTTTAGACAAATCATAAAGGAAAGAGAGGTACAGAGCTCTATGGACAGATATGTTGTGCGACAGAGGTCCAGTGACTCTCAAGCTGGTCCTAGTGGCGTTAAAAGAAGAAGGGAAGTAACCCCAAAAAAGGACTTGATACCTCAAGTCCTAATGGAAGGGGATTTCCCTTCTAAACAATAAGTTCGACATTCTCCCCTCCTCCCATCCCATCAATCATCACCAGATCTTCATTAAAGGTAAGTGTCATGTATTCTACTGCTAGTAGAATACTACTAACTGTGCATGTCTTCTTCAGTTTGTGTGCATTAAACTTAATATTTCATACTTCTTTCATACTTTTGGGCGCCTTGCACAGATTAATTTGATTTCCATTATTTCTTATGGGGAAAATTAA